CGCCACAGGGAGCATTTTCCTGGTATCTACTTTAAACCAATGTTGATCTTCTTCAAACAGGAATATATTACACTAGCTGCAAACATAATTGAGCAAATATGATAACAGTGAAGGGACAAGTGATAATTTCATACCACTTTGCAGAAATCAATATTCTCATAATTAATCACTAACTCTTTATATAAGCTCTTATGAGTACATATCTTTATGTTTTTATACTAAGGACTGAATCCAGAGGTGATTTCCCACTGAGCCACATCCCCAGACCTTTTGGGGTTTTTAAAATTTTTTTATATATTTATTTTTTAGTTATAGTTGGACACAATATCTTTATTTTATTTATTTATTTTTATGTAGTGCTGAGGATCAAACCCGGTACCACACATGTTCTAGGCAAGCACTCTACCACTGAGCTACAACCCCAGCCCTAAAATTTATTTTAAAAACAATTAAAATGAATGCTAAGTGCAACTGTAAAAGGAAAATATAGAATTTGACCAGCCAGATTCAATAATCTTTTATTCATTATTCTAATAACAATGAGAAAAGCTCACCAATATATGGTTATGATTCATGATTACTCAAAATGCAGAAGTAGACTTTCAAAGTATGTTTAACTGAGAACACAAAAATTTGTTCCTTGGGTTACTTATCAAAGTCTTTGATGAGAAAACTTACAGTTTTGCCAAAATACTTTTAATTTAGAAAGTGAAACCAAAAACCTTCTTGACACATCATGTGTCTGTTTATTTTAAAATACACATTTTTTTATGTTGTGTGTGACAGCCTGGTGAAGTAGATGTCATATGTTTAAGGTACAAAAGGATGGGAGCCATTTTAATAAAGTAAAAGCATTTGTGACTATTCACATACTAAATTCAAGGCCACTTTTAAACAAAATATATTTGAGCTCTAGGATTACTGAAAGAGAAAATGCTCACATTGCTTACAGAATAATTGATATTATACAGAGGGAAATAAAATTAAATAAGAAAAGTATGTAAGATCCCTTGACACCAAAAGCTTAGTCCATAAAAGGAAAAATTAATAAACTGGACCTCATCCAAACTTAAGCCTTTGTTCTGGAAACATCTCTGTGAAGAGGTTGGAAAGACAAGCTACAAACTAAAAGAATATACTTTCAAACCACATATCTAAAGGATTAGTATTTAAAATATATAAAGAACTCTCAAAAGTCAACAGTTAAAAAATGCAAATAGAAAATGAACAAAAGGCATGAACGGACATTTCACTAAAGGGGACCTAGAGATGGCAAATGAGCAAGTGAAAAGACATTCAACATGATTAGCTATTCAAAAATCACAAACTAAAATTATGGGAAGATATTTTATAAACCCATTGGAATGGCTAACTTAAAAAACAGTGACAATGCCAAATGCTGGCAAGGATGAAGAACACTCATACATTGTTAATGAGGATGTAAAAAAATCATACAGCCACTGTAGAAAACAGTTTGACAGTTCCTTAGAAAACTAAATATGCAACTATCAAACAACCCAGCAATTGTTCTTTTGGGCAATTAAACCAAAGAAAGGGAAATTAATGGTCACAGAAAAATCTGTATGTAGTATTTCATAGCCACACCCCCCAAAAAATAAGATCCCAGAAACAGCAGATATCTTTTGAGAAGAGAATGATTATAAACACACATCAGTACTAGGAAATACTACTCAGCAATGAAAGGAACAAAATATTGATAAAGCATACATTCTCTACATGAATCTCGAGGAAATTATGCCAAGTAGAAAAAAAAAAGTTTGTTTCAAATGGTTACATACTGTGTGATTCCATTTATTTAGCATTCTTAAAATGACAAGACAACAGATGTGGAAAACAGATCAATGATTCCCAAGTGGCCAGGGAGGTAGGGAGATGTCTGTAGTTTGCCTCTGGTGATCATACCAATCTACAAAAGAGTTCACATTAAAACTGGTGAAATCAGCTGGGCTTGATGACACACACCTGTAATCCCAGAGGCTGAGACTGGAGGATTGCAAGTTCCAGGCCAACCTGGGCAACTCAGTGAGACCTTGTCTCAAAATAAATAAATAAAATAAAGAGGGCTGTGAACTCAATGGTATAGCATCCCTGGGTTCAATCCCCAGTACCACCACCAAAAAAAAAAAAAAAAAAAAAAAAAAAAAACCCACTGGTGAAATCTGAATAAAATGGACAGATTGTATCTATTTCAATTTCTTGGTTGTGATGTTATAACATAGTTATGCATGATGTTACCATTATATATATTATATGTATCCCCAATGGTAACATCATGTATAACTATATTATATATATGAGACAATCTACAACTATGTCAAAATTCAAAGTCAAGAAAAAAAGAATATGTAAGACAAGTCTTTTTTGCTAAGGGCTCAGCAATTGAAAGTCAATGAAGGAAACAAAAGTAATTCTGAATAGTCTATAGGCTATAGTTAATACAATCATCTCCTTCCTTATGGAACCTTAACTTCCCCCAGGATTTTGTTTACGTCTCTGGTTTGGTTCTTGGTTTGGTTCTTGCGTTTTGTTGTTGTTGTTTGTGGTACTGGAGATCAAACCCAGGGCCTCACACATGCTAGGCAAGTGCTCTACCACGGAGCTATATCCTTAGCCCTCACTGCCACTTTCAATAACAATTAAATGCACATACATCTGTCTCTTCACAACCACACCACCATCCCAGACTACATACTAAAAAGTAGAGGCTGTCTTCATAACCATAATATTTTGAGGGCCTGGCACAAAATAAGTGACAGATGAGGGAACAAGATAATTGAGTGAATAAACACAATGAATGAGATGTTTGCATATTCTTTTAAAGTTCTCAGCCAATAACAATTATAAGGCAGTATGTACACATTTCCTTACAAATTTCTAAAAGCAATGGAAGTTTAAAAAACAGTGGTGTGTGTGTGTGTGTGTGTATACCTTTCATTTACAAACAGAAGTTAACAATATGTCTGACTTTTGTAAAATGCTTCCCAATTTATAGACTTCCACATATAGTAAGGAAGTCACTAAGTTACAATGAATTAGGAATTAAGTATATTTAAATTGAAGCTAGCATATGCAGACCTTTGAGGAAAACACTCTAAATAGCAAATGATATATCAGGATTTATGACAAAGCCTCATGTAAAGTGCATCACACACACACATATTCATCATATCTGTTGAGTATGAGTACAGAATTCAAATTGAGGAACTTCCAGATTATTCTACCAACTGTCTGAAGACACTTTAAAATGTGAAAACCAGGAAAGGTAAAATGACTTGTTCAAGGTTACAAATATAAGTAGAGCTGGAACTAGTACCTGAGCCTCTCCAGAGTCCCAACTCATTTTCTTCTCACTGAATTGGACAAGACTCTTCTTTGTCCACCCATCTCATTCTCTGACCCAAACACTCAAACAAAAACTTAATCTGAATCATTTGTGGGTTTTTTTTTCAAATAGGGGTTTTCCAAAACACACAGAGACACACACACATACACAAAACTGAATGTACTCAAAGTTAATTGTTGCATTACACTTTCCATGGATTTTTTTGGGTGTCAAATTACTTATGGTCTGATAAGGCACTCTAGTCTAAGATGGAAGTGTACTGACATTTCAATGTTTCATCTGCCACCTAAATGGCAGAGAGTGTTAATTGTAACAGGAATCTCACATGTCTAAGCTTTTAACTCAACTGAAAAGATCAGTTATTTTACAATTTAAGGAACAGAACTTACACCATTAAAATCTTGTTTATTGGCAGTACATTTGCTGCGTTATATCTCAAGAACATTTAATACCGTTGTTAGAAGCAAAATAAAAGAAAAACTCAAGTTACAAACAATGATGGAAAAGTTTTCTCGGGTTAAATCTCCCTTATGCAGCAACATGTTAATAAGCACTAATTTAGAGGTACAAGAATAAAAACACTAGAAGGAAACTTAGTTATGCTCTACACCAACGTCCTTATTTTTGCAGAAGAGGAAACTGAGCAGTTGATTAAACAATTAACCAACAAATCAAACTGCTTAGTTTTTCAATGGGGTTCATTTCAGTGTTATTTTACACTTATTCTGCATTTCACCATCATTTCTCAGAGTGAGGATGGACTTTTTTTAAAGGTGAAAATAGCGAATAAAACAAGTTAATTTCAAGAGGGTGAAAAAAAATGCCATTGAAGGAGGAGATGCTGGAGTAAAAAGAGAAATGACGTCTTATTTCAAATATGTAACGGCTTGATGGGCTTACGCAATGAATCATATTCTCCTAGGCTTTTCTGTGTCTATAGACTTCAGCCACAGTTCTTTTGGGTACTCAAATGAGAGGAAGAGGAAGTGAATAAAGCTAATACTAAATACACAGCAGCAAGTGAAGGCAGGGATGTAGATATAAAGGACGGGGTTGGGGGGGGGGGGGGGGGAAAGCATGCTTTTGCTGGAATCCATCTGTTTTCTAGCATCACCTTTTAAAGGTATAGATGTTAACAGGATATCGGCATCTCTCAAATTCGAGAGGGCGGATACTTCTGTAGCCAGAAGGACCCCTGGCTCTCAGTTAGAGAGTGACTGGGAGGGGACAAAATGGAGCTGAGGTCTAGGGGCGCCCTAAAGGTCGTTTGGAGGTCTAGCAAGCAGTTGATGTGCTCCTCTCAAAAGGGTCATGGCAAAGACTCATACTCCTATCAGGACGATGACTTCTGGCCTTGGGTCACGATGAGCGGCAAAAAGAGGCAAGCCAATTCTCGAGGACCCCAGCCTCTACCAAAGGTGAAGATAGTGACCTCAGGAATTTTCCTGGCCTCAGGAGAGGCGGGAGGGTAGATTGGCCGGGCTCGGGAAGAAAGCGAGCGGATTCGGGGGAAAAGGAATATCCACCTAGCCTCCTCCTGGCTCAGGTGAGCTATGCTAACCCCCAGGCAGCTGGAGCCCAGACACCAAAAGGCAGGAGTGCCGGGGCCGCAGCCTTGTTATCAGAGGTTACTCACCCAAGGCGCTGCCTTCCACGTCTTCGCAGCCGGCCGGCGCCTAGCCCTCGGGAAGCTCACGAAAGGGAGCCGCGTGCCCGCGAGCACTAAAGCAAGGAGGGGCGCGCCGCGGAGGCCAGAGAAAAAGCCGCAGCAGCGGCGCGCGCACCCGGACAGCCGGCGGGGGCGGGGCGCGGCGCGAGCCCGGAAAAGACGCGCCTGGAGGGGCGGGAGGAGCGGGGGCACGCGGTGGTGTGGCTGAGCCGGCCGAATCGCAGGCGGCAGACGGCTCGGCCCACCCACATGCCCGCCCCCGCTCGCCCGGGACGTCAGCCGAAAAGGCGGAGCAGAGCGGGCTCCAGCTGTAAAGGAAGGGTGCTGAGGGGGCGCGGAGGCGGCTAACGGCTCCTTGCGGGTTGCCGATGCTCTCCGACTTGCTGGCAGTGCTGTCGAGTGTGTTTCCAATGAGCCTTGTGCGTAATTGCGGAGAGATGCAGAACCGGCCCACGCCCACACCTGCTTCGGCGGACTCCACCCCAGGTTGACAGTTCCCTTGAGGTCGTTTGCCAGATTCCCTATAAAGAGACTCATCTTTGGACTTCATTGCTCTTCCTTACAGAGAGACCTTAACACTCTGACTGAAGGCATTCCTTCTTCTGGAAGCCTGAGCTAATGTTTCTCATCCGTTTATCTTGCCTCTCATTGCGTCAAGATCCCCACTCCCGCCCGCTAATGAAATAATCAGAAGGATGCAGGGTTTTCACGTTACGCCTTCCATTTCCACGACCATGTAATGGCAAAAGAACTCAGAACTGATAAGAAAAAGTCACTGCAGCACTGTGACATCTTAATGGCCCTGATCATTGTGAATAAGCCAATCCTACAAACGCCTTTCCCAAGAGATTCAAGAAATTATACTGGTAAAAATAAAATTCCAGCGAACTGTCTCAGGACTTCAAAAGGGACAGACGAAACTACAAATGAGCCAGGACAAACTGCCAAGAATATATCACAAACGAAACAAATGTCAAGTATTCTTCCAGTTCCCTGGTGCATAATGGTGGACTAGCTTCCTCTTCCTGCTGATAATGGGCTTTTCACTTTGCTTGCTATTTTCCATTTCCCCATAGAATTACCAGATATGCCTCACCCTCTCAAATTACAAACTACAGTACTTCTTAAAAGTGCGCATCAAAACCATCTGGAGCTCTTGTTCAAATATGGGTACCTATATAACCCCCATATGTTTTGATCAGGATTTGAGTAAGACTAAACATTTTGAGTTTTTAATAAGCATCCCAGGTGACAAATCGGGGGCTAGCTGAGAGTACAGAGCTACAGTTTTTGTGTGTTATTGCTCTAAAGCCATAGTACGCATTTAATTTCCAACTGACCCAGTCACTTAAACATAATTTGCCTATAAATATTGCTGAGGCAGTCATGCAGTTTCCTTTTTCAAGATTGACCTAGAAAGTTCAGGACTTCAAACAACAGGTTTAATTGTCATCTTTAATTTTATAAGATCTTGTTATTAATCCCAGAAATAGGTAATCGTTTCTCAGGGATAAAATTCACTGGTTACATAGAGTGTACAGAGAACTGACATCTGTAGTGGGTTAACACAAAAGTTGGAAGAATGATCATCCCTGCCCTCAATATACTTAGTAGAAATAAAACAAACACAACATAGACCCAGTATAACACAAAAATCAATATGTTAGACTGAGATGAAAAAGAACTTGTAATTAAAGGGTACTTTTGCCAGTTTCCTTTATTATTATTCTCTTGGCCCAGAAATTTTCATTTAGGTAATTCATCTAAACATTGAGTCCTCAGTTTTCTGAGTTTCCTCCAACTTTACAAGATACAGGGGAAAGAAGTAACCAGAGCCTGATGATCCTTTGTTGTTGTAGTTGGTTGTTTGTCTATGTGTCTACAATATATGTATATGCATATGTGCATGATATAAATATATTTATCAGACCAACAACACTGTTTGTACTTTCAAGATCTTTATTATTTAAACTATTATTAATGCCCACAGTTTGGGCATCTTTATTACCTACCATATCTCACCTTTTCCTTCACATTTAACCAGAATGAAGAAGAAAATCTTTAAAAAGGAAACCAAATATATCCGCCCTATTTCCAGCTCTTCCTTTTTCACGTTTTGGAAGTCAAAACAAACCTTTTATTTCTTGTCATCAAAAAATCTCTGACAGGCCTAGGGCTGTAGCTCAGTGGCACAGTGCTTGCCTAGCATGTGTGAAGCACTGGTTTGATCTTCAGCACCACATTAAAAAATAAATTAATAAACAAAGATATTGTATGTCCATCTACAACTAAAAATATATTTTTTAAAAAATCCTCCAAGAAGCCAGGTATGGTGGTGCACGCCTGTCATTCCAGTGGCTTGGGAGGTTGATGCAGGAGGATCGTGAGTTCAAAGCCAGCTACAGCATCAGTGAGGCACTAAGCAACTCAGTGAGACCCTGTCTCTAAATAAAATACAAAATAGGGTGGAGGTGTGGCTCAGTAGTCTAGTGCCTCTGAGTTCAATCCCAGTACCAAAAAAAAAAAAAAAAAAACCCTCCAAGAACTACCACACAAGAGCAAAATATTCCCCAGGCAGCTGTCAAACATTTCAGAGAAAACACTTGTACCATTGTTTACTAGTTAGGAAGACAGAGATTACCCCTTTTTAAAAGATGGAGAAACAGATGCAAATAAAATAACTAGTAACAGAGCCTGGATTTCCTACCACACCAGGAGGCTTGCTGTTACATCAGCCTCACTAAGTAATGCATCCGCCCAGAACTATCAATTCAGTTAGAAACTGAATAGATAAATATATGGAAATGGAAGATTTAGGGAAATATACAGTGCTATTGAAAAATACAACATAAAAAATACTGAAAACATGAAAATTAAACTTTCCAAAGCTACATAGAATTTAACAGGACCACTCCATTGGCAGGCACTGATATCTAGGCCTTGCCTATTTTGCTGTTCTGTAACAAGAAGCTGAAACAGATAGCCAGACTGCTCTTGGCATTAGTTATTTATGGAAGAACAGAAAACAACTGTTCTTCATTAACTGTATAATAAACCTTTGCGTGCTAATCCTTATTCACAGGCTTGTAGAATAATAATTCAACTACAAGCAGTAGGACTTTATAATATTTGCATAGACAAGTTATTGTTAGGGTCTGCCATTATCAAAGCTTGTTTTTTGCAGCACTAATAACCAGTACCAATACTGTCTTTAGTGGTGTGTCTGAAACAACTAGTGAAATCAGAAACCTAGGCAGATCTTACTGTGAATATAAATAACTTAAGCTACTCCTTTCAAAAATGGACGAAGGAAGGGCTGGGTGTAGCTCAGTGGTAGAGCACTTGCCCAACCACACTTGAAACCCTAAAATCAATCTTCATCACCACAAAGGAAAAAATATAAAATGGTCAAAGGTGTAGTAGGTAGTCCTAAATATCAGTTTGGAGAAATGATTAATTTTTTTCAAACAAACATTTCCCTACATTCCAGTTCATTTTACCAGTTTTAAAACTAATTTGAAAGACAAAAACTAATGGAAAGACACTAATGACCCTGAATGGGAAGATGCAATATTATAAAGAGTCAGGTCTTCTCAAATTAATCTATAAAGTCAGTGAAGTTTATTTATTTATTTTTTATTATTTTTTAGTTATCGGTGGACACAACATCTTTGTTTTGTTTGTATGTGGTGCTGAGGATCGAACCTGGGGCGCATGCATGCCAGGCGAGCGTGGTACCACTTGAGCCACATCCCCAGCCCCAGTCAGTGAAGTTTAAATCAAGATCCTAGCATGGTTTTAATGGGACTTAATTTCAGTTTCTCTCATGAAACTCATTCATTGTCTTTTTAAAGCTAATTCCTATCCCCCCTAAATAAAATTCTCCGCAATTATCCTTGAAAATTGCCTTAGCAACCTTCCCAAAAAGAAAAAAAAAAATTCTATTGTCCACAAGCCAAGATGGAGTGAAATATGCTGTGATTGGCATTAAAACCTGCAAGAATGTTACCTTATATGTTTGCCCACTCTTTGTAATAGTTGTGGCCTAGCAATGTTAGGAGAAATAATAGAGCATCAGCCTCATAACTCATCCAAATTTTTCTTTCTTTCATATATAAGAATATTCCAATATGTGCCATTTTTAAATATTTAATTTTTTAGTTGTAGTTGGACACAATACCTTTATTTTATTTTATTTATTTATTTTTATGTGGTGCTGACGATTGAACCCAGGGCCTTGCACACACTAGGCAAGTGCTCTACTGCTGAGTCACAACCCCAGCCCCCCCCCCCAGTATGTGCCATTTTTAAAAGACCAGTAAAATAACAAAAATTTTAAATGTTCCTTACCCAAAATCATCAACTACTAGAGCTGGGGGCCTGAGGAGCAGAGTAGCAGAGGAGAAACCATATGGGTTTTGGTCTTAGGCCAGCCACCCTAGAACACATTACATGACTTCTTTCTTAACCTCAGCCTTTTCATTTGTAAACTGGAAAGAATAATGGTACCTTACTCATAAGGCTTATCTGAGGGAAAATTAAATGAAATTGTGCTTATAAAACACCTGATTTATGGCAAGTGTATAGAAAATGTTGGCTATTTATTACCAAGTTCAACCTCCTTGCTTTACAGATTGGGGGGGGGGAGTACATTACAACCAGAACAGTCTTTCCCCATATTCTCTTATTATCATGTAACTCTCATTAAAGCTAAGGGCTAAAGTTCTTGAGAAGTGGTCTATAGCCACTTCATTCACTAAATCACTGTCTAATTTCCAAGCCAATCCTCATTCCCTTCAATCCTTCAATATTCCCTTATGCATTCTATGAAATGGACAAATCCCATATTTATATCCAAATATTCACTCTACTTGAGCCTTCAGAAATATATTTAAAGCAATCCTTCTTCAAACTTAAATATTGTAATAAAACTGTCTGATTCATTTGGATTCTACATGATGCCTGGCATAAGCCAAGTTATTGTTATTCAAATAGAAATCTTAAGCAACATGTTAAAATAATACAAGCCACCATTCATTGAGCATTTACTATATGCTAGCTTATACACCAAGCACATTGCATGCATTAGTTTATTTAACCCTCAGAAAATCCTGAGGTCAATA